GATCATTCCTGGTAAATTCGAGCTCAATTGGGCTATTTTGAAATTTTGACCCCAATGAACCCTATGTAACCACTGATGCTAGACAGGGGTGTAGCAGGTGTCACTGGTTCTTAATGGTCAAATTTGATTGAATTCGGTTCAATCGTTTGCCATTAGTAACATTTTGAACCTTTGACCTATGAACTTTGACATATGGGGTAAAGAGGGGGTTTTTTTGTGTGTTTAGAAGGTCCTAAGGATCATTTCTGGTAAATTTGAGCTAAATTGGGTTATTTTGAAAATTTAAACCCGATGACCCCTATGTGACCCCTGATCCCAGACTGGGGCATAGGAGGTGTCGCCAGTTCTTAATGACAACATTTGATTAAATTTGGTCCAATGGTTTGCCATTAGTAGCATTTTGAAATGTTACTAGAGAGAACAAAAGAATAACCCTTTAATGACCTTTGACCATAAATCGCTGAACACCATAAAGACACTACCTTATGCCAATACATATGTACCCAGGACAGGACTGTGCTATGTTATTTGTGACAGAAGTCTTTTATTCATTTTTTTGAAAATTTTTTACCCTAATGACCCTATGTGACCTTTGACCCCAAGCAGCGAAAACCCCCATGTATGAGAGGTGTCACCGATTATACTGACCAGGTTTGGTTGAAATCGACACAACCGTTTGGCACTAGTAGCGTTTTGAAATGTTGCCAGAAAAAAGATAAAAATTACCCCTTAATGACCTTTGATCCCTTATCCCTGAACACCCTATAGACCATGCCTTATGCATTGGAACATGAACCCAGTCATTTTTTAAGAGATAACCACTGTGACCTTTAATCTCAACCTGTGAACACCCCATGTTTGGTAGGAGTCTGTCTAATGCAATTGGTCCAATCGTTAGTCACTAGGAATACTTGATAATTTTCACTATAGTGACCCTTGTGAATTTTTACCTATAGATGAAGAGTAGTTTTTCATGTTTAGAAGGTCCTAAGGAAGATGTGTATAAGAGACAGGTAAAAATGTTGCCAGAAAGAAAGAAAGAACTAGAGAACCCAGTCATTTTTTAAGAGATAACCACGGTGACCTTTAACCTCAACCTGTGAACACCCCATGTTCTAATGCAACTGTTCAATCGTTAGTCACTAGCAATATTTAATAATTTTCACTATAGTGACCCTTGTGAATTTTTACCTATAGATGAAGAGTAGTTTTTCATATTTAGAAGGCCCTAATGATCATTCCTGGTAAATTCGAGCTCAATTGGGCTATTTTGAAAATTTGACCCCGATGACCCCTATGTAACCACTGATGACAGACAGGGGTGTAGGAGGTGTCACTGGTTCTTAATGATCAACTTTGATTGGGTTGAAGAGTATTTTTTCGTGTTTAGAAGGTCCTAAGGATCATTCCTGGTAAATTTGAGCTCAATTGGGCTATTTTGAAAATTTAACCCCGATGACTATGTGACCCTTGATTCTAGACTGGGGTGTAGGAGGTGTCACCGGTTCTTAATCACGAAATTTGATTGAATTTATTCCAATGATTTGCCATTAGTAACATTTTTAAATGTTACTATAGAGAACAAAAGAATAACCCTTTAATGACCTTTGACTGTAAATCGCTGAACACCATAACGACCCTACCTTATGCCAATACATATATGCCCATGACGCGATTTTTTCCGTACGAAACATTTACATGAAACTCCACTGGGGCCGTCTCGACTGAATCGACCCGAAAATCTCATATTGCAGAATTCAGGTCAAAAGGTCATCAACAACTTCTGATCTGAGAGAACGTCGCTGTCTGACTTTTAAAAATACATTGATGTTACCATGCTAATACTAATGGGTCGTTTAAAATGACATAATATTTGATTGAGCTGCACGAGTAAAAAAGTGTTATTTAAATTTGAGTTATATACTGTGGCAATTTTTATTTTTTAGTTAGGTCTGGGTTTTGCATAATTACCTAGGTAGGCCTAACTACAAAAAATATACGCTTTCTGGGGAAAGTACAGAGAGTAAGGAAAAGTGCGTGAGTTCTCGGGGCGTTTGATCAAATGAAACAGGGTGACACTGTTATTTTCAAATTAAGAGAAGAGCTGAAAAGAGGCAGCTCTAAAATACTGGATGTTATAAGACCTGCCAAATGGCAGAGCACCAATGAATGTATACGGTAAATGATCGGCCTAAGCCTAGTTATTAATATCAGGCATAGTAATCTGCAGATTCTTGATTACAAGACTAGACCAGGTTAATTACAGGTAATGCCGAAATGATTATTTATTATTATTATTATTATTATTATTATTATTATTATTATTATTATTAATTATTGTTATTATGTTACTAAAACCAACCTGTAGGCCTACCTTAAGGGGAACTTAGACAATCGAGGAATTAGAGAACAATTGAAAAATCGACGTTAAGGGGAAATAACAGAAAAGATATTCCCCCTGAGCTAGTTGTTAATTATAGGCCTAGTAAATAGTATACAAGGCTTAGGTCAAGGTAATTAATGCTGAAATTATTATTATTATTATTATTGTTATTATTGTTATTATTATTATTATTATTATTATTATTATTATTATTATTATGTTACTAAAACCAACCTGAAGGCCTACCTTAAGGGGAACTTAGACAATCCATGGATGAATTAGAGAACAATTAAAAAATCGTCGTTAAGGGAAATAACACAAAAAATATTCCCCCTGGGCTAGTTATTATTTATAGGCCTAGTAAATAGTATGGTTCTTCATTACAAGGTTTAGGTCAAGGTAATAAATGCTGAAATTATTATTATTATTATTATTATTATTATTATTACTATTATTATTATTATTATTATTATTATTATTTATTATTTATTATTTAACATTAATTACATTACAAGGATAGTTTGGTCAAGTTCAATAACGCCGCCGAATTGTATATTTTATTTATTTAATAATATTTCTCTTATGCACTCTATTTTTTATTTCATGCTTTAATTTTTTTCCATTTTTTTTTTTCAAAATTTCAATCAACGTTTGTATGTAAAGCGTGACTGTTGGTGTCAGCGTAGGACCCTAGGCCTATACAAGGTAGGACCTAACTTAGCCTGTAGTTAGGCCCATAGTTTATCCTCTTTCTCTCTAGCCTCTGGTATTACCTGGTATATCTGGTATTGTTGTTGTAGATATTATACTAACATTTAATAAACATCCAAGAAGGCCACAGTTAGTTACACACGTACATCCCATAAATCTGTGACATCATAAGCCTATCGTAGGTAAACATAGAAAGAGCAATAATAGTAAAACTCGAGCGTCACGACATTGCGAAGTGTCTGCTCTTGTTCCTCGTATCGAACTTAGTCGAGTCAATCCGAGATGGCCCGAGTGAAGTTTCATGCAAATGTTTCGTACGGAAAAAAAATCGCGCCCAGGACAAGACTGTGCTATGTTATTTGTGACAGAAGAAGTCTTTTTTTGGAAAGTTTTTTACCCTAATGCCCCCCAGGTGACCCTTGACCCCAAGCAGTAACCACCCCATGTATGAGAGTTGTCACCGATTATACTGACCAGGTTTTTGTTGAAATCGGCACAACTGTTTGGCACTAGTAGCGTTTTGAAATGTTGCCAAAAAAAGGTGAAAAATACCCCTTAATGACCTTTGACCCCTTATCCCTGAACACCCTATAGACCCTGCCTTATGCCAATATATATGTGCAAAGGGCAAGACTGTGCTACGTTATTTGTGAGACAAGTAGTCTTTTATACGATTTTTGGTTTTTTGACCCTAATGCCCCTTATGTGACCTTTAACCCGAAGTTGTGAACAACACATAAATGAGAGGTGGCACCGGTCCTGCTGACCAAGTTTTAATTAAATCGGTCCAGTAGTTTGCCACTAGTAGCCTTTTAAAATGTTGCCAGAAAGAAAGAAAGAAAGAACTAGAGATACTATGTTCAATAGAACATGAACCCAGTCATTTTTAAGAGATAACCATTGTGACTTTTAACCTCAACCTGAGAACACCCCATGTTTGGTAGGAGTCTGTCTAATGCAATTGGTCCAATCGTTAGTCACTAGCAATATTTGATAATTTTCACTATAGTGACCCTTGTGATTTTTGACCTATAGGTGAAGAGTAGTTTTTCATGTTTAGAAGGTCCTAAGGATCATTCCTGGTAAATTATGTGCAAAGGACAAGACTGTGCTACGTTATTTGTGAGACAAGTAGTCTTTTATAGGATTTTTGGTTTTTTGACCCTAATGCCTCTTATGTGACCTTTGACCCCACACATAAATGGGGAGGTGGCACCGGTCCTACTGACCAAGTTTTAATAAAATCGGTCCAGTAGTTTGCCACTAGTAGCCTTTTAAAATGTTGCCAGAAAGAAAGAAAGAAAGAAACTGCTGAGAAACAGAACCCAGTCAGCTGCTGCTGACTGGGTAAAGAAAGAAGAAACTGCTAGGAAACAGAACCCAGTCAGCATGTTACTGACTGGGTAAAGAAAGAAGAAATTGCTAAGAAACAGAACCCAGTCAGCTGCTGCTGACTGGGTAAAGAACTAGAGATACTATGTTCAATAGAACATGAACCCAGACATTTTTAAAGAGATAACCACTGTGACCTTCAAGCTTAACCTGTGTGGACACCTCATGTTTGGTAGGAGTCTGTCTAATGCAATTGGTCCAATCATTACTCACTAGAAATCATAATGAAAACTTTTCCTCTGTTTGCGACGAAAGCTCATTTAGGTAAATTTGACCTACATCTTATGCACGAACGCACTAACCGCAGAAAACTCGAAATTCGTAGCTGCTATTGGCCTTAAGCCGTGACGTCATTCATAGACAAGGTAAAAACATTTCTGAATACAAAATTGTAAAGAAAAAATGATTAATGGTTATTTAAGCAACCAGCATGAAACATGGTAAAAGAAAGCTTAATTTATGAGTTACAATTGACCGTTCACCCCAAAGTTTAGCGACCTGTCGTTGCAGAGTTATGGTAAAAGAAGCAGGAAGTATGCCAAGAAAACACTCTAATTTTAACCTTTTTCCTATGCAAAAGCATAAGAGATAGTCAATTTTGAAAAAAAAAAGATCCCTAAATTTTACATTAATTGTAAAAATACATAGATGATTATAAAGCTCAAAACATCTAGTTTCATAATCCGATCGCCCCAAATTGCCAAATGAAACCATTCAAATTATATAGTCGATTTTGTGAGAAAAGGGGTTCGGGTTTTGACTCATTTACTGTGTTTAAGTGTGCAGTGAACCGTTCAGTGAGCAGATGTCTTCAAGTTTTCATTATGATTTGATACTTTTCACTATAGTGACCCTTGTGACTTTTGACCTAGAGGTGAAGAGTCGTTTTTTATGTTTACAAGGTCCTAAGGATCATTCCTGGTAAATTCGGGCTCAATTGGAGTTTTTTGAAAATTTGACCCCGATGACGCCTATATTACCCTGATCCCAGACTGGGGTGTAAGAGGTGTCGCCTGTTCTTAATGACGAAATTTGATTGAATTTCGTCCAATGGTTTGCCATTAGTAGCATTTTGAAATGTTACTAGAGAGAACAAAAAAATAACCCTTTAACACTCACAACATTGACTATTAAAACTAACAAAACAATTTACATGAAAAGTCTAATGGTCATTTGTATCATCTGATACAAACAGGCAAAAATCAATAAAGACTACTTTGAAAGTAAATTCTCCATCATGTCGAAAACATAATGACGAATAGTCAGATGGTAATCTAGACTTACCACAAGTCTCTTATTTGTTATTATTTTTCTCATTCTGGACAGCGCCACCAACGAGAAAGTTAATTTAGAGATAGACGGAATAAGCGACTTGTAAAACACTGAAATCAGGCACCAGGATGCCAAAAGAATGACGTAATCTTATATTCCGTATTTGGATAAATGGGCGGACCGAAATAAACAATTTTAACCAATAAAATGTTTATATTTTTGGAGCCACGAAACTGAGTCACTCGCGTCGACTAGTTTGGCATGACTAAATTTAAATAGTCCTCCGTAATAAAACGGGCCTAAATATTTAGAATAGACCCTAGTAAGACTAATTTTGGCAATGGCAAAAACAATTAAGCTTAGACTAGATGGCATACCATACAAATACAACAAAACTTTAACTTTAAAGGAAGATGGCTCAGGCCTCGTCTGGATGGAGTCAGGAGTAGTAGTCCTAGCCTAGTAGTAGAGGCTTGGCGTATTTTTTAAGTTCTTACAGAGGCTACCTTTTTAACAATATTCTACCCTAAAGGCCTAAATCTGTAGCAGCTAGCGGGGAGCAAGGTTCCTAAGTATAACCTACGGTTATCAGTAAATGTCGTTCTCAGCAGGCCAGAACTATTATACTAACTGTTTTAATTTAAGTAGGTAGCCAAAAGGGAGCTGGAGCTTGTTCTAGTCGAGACATCCGCATCTTCAATTTTGGAAAATTAACGAAGCTTGATTAATATGCATGAGGTGAGCCAATCACGTGATTTACAAAATCAGTCATGCATACGATATCCCACATCAAATTTGATGTGGGAAATTGCACGCATGAATCGTTTGCCCAGGCCCTAATTCGAAAAAAAAAGAAATCGAGCATGGGACGCCAAATAAATTAGGTATGGCGCGCACTAAGTGCAATAAAGAGTGAGTAACCTAAAATTAGGGCCTGGAACCCAGGCTAATGATAATCGTGCATCTAACACTGACATTGGCATTCACAAATTTTTTTTTGACAAATGTTTTCTGCTTGTTCATTTCATACTCAAACGACGCCACCAAGAACCAAATATAGACAATTTTAATAGTTAAAAAACGTGCTGTCCTCGCAGGTCATTGTTTGGCGTTCAGCGCCGCACACACGCACACCCCCTCCCCCCAACACACACACACACACACACACTGCTCCTTAATTTTCATAAACTTTAAAAAGTTGACACTTTATGTTATGTATCTTCAGTGTTTTAATTTCGTATAGCTTATGAATGACAATATGCCGAAGAGTTTATTTCAGCTCTTAAAAGCAGCAAAGTCAAAAATTGACATGCTCCAAAACGTCATACACTGTTTGCTAAACTCTCCTTTAGACGAACACTATTTTCTAAACCGTTTTATATTAGATTTTTAATCTCTCCCTTACATTGGACATATATTTTATTTTTTATCTTTAAATATAATATTGAATTATTTACAAAATTAGATATAGAGCAATAAATACAAATACAAGTAAAAGAAATTAATAAAGCAGTGAACACAATCTTATATCTGAAATATATCAAACTTTTTTTTTTAATTTCAATGTATTTGCAACTAATTGAAACTTTTTTTTTATCTAGTATCATTGATCGGAATATTATTGATATAGTTTTAGAAAAAAAATGATAATGATAATTACAAAGAAACTGCAATTTATTTTGTAAATCCTAAATAAGTTTAGGTGTCGTCTTTAAAATGAAAAAGATTTTGTATAGTTTACCATTAACATATGGAACTATTTTTGAAGACGGATTCTACTTTAAGCTACGTTCACATCAAACCAGCATGCCGGTACGGAGTCCGGAGAAAAAATCATGAAATATGGGTTCAGTGGTAAAGAATAGGACCGTTCACATAAAATTCGTACGATTTTCAATCCGGACTCCAGATCTGGAACGATGGATCTTAGAGCCATTTGCATCATAAAATCATGCGTGTTTTTTTTTCTTGGACCAATCAGACGAACCAATCGAACGCATACTTTCTTCACCTGAACAACCCTGTTCTGTGCGCGATTTGAACGCAGCGTTCAAAAAGCGTAGCAACTCACGATTTTTTGTCCGGGCTCCGGACCGCATCCGGGCTTGATGTGAACGTAGCTTTATACGAGTGAAATTTGTAAAGTACATGAATTTTTATAATCATTTAAAAAGTTCATACCGAATTCTGTCATATAAGATATCAATAGGATTAAACTTATTGCCGAAAATTGCAGATAGAGGAAGCGTAGAAGATTTTCTACTATTAAAGCATAGTAAACCCTTATTTAAGAAACTGAATGTTTTTAAATATTTTTGATCTTCATAAAATCCAGGTCTTATCCCTAATGTACCAATATGAAAATCACTCATTACCAATTTCAATTTCAAATATTATTTGCACAGGTAAAACAATTAATGCATATAATTTTAGAAAAAACAAGAAGACTAGATATTCCTTTTGCAAGACTTACAAAGACTCAATTTTTTGTTAAATTCTATGGTCCTAAATTATGGAATGAAATTACAGATAAAGTCAATAGTTGCAATAACTTACATTTATTCAGAAAAACTTTAAATATAAATCTTTTAAATTATGCAGGTATAATTTAAATCACATGTTCTATACCGTTCATTTGATAAAATTTTTAAAAGAAACAATCTGATATGAGATACATTTTTTTGCATGTTGTTTATTTATATATTTATTTAAAAATTTTTATTTTATATATATTATAATCTCTTTTGTTCATCTTTTGTTTATTCATCATTTTGAGACAAGTTTTTTTAACTTCTAATCTGATTCCTAAATCGTAATTTATAGCTATTAATTGTTTACCTTCACATGAATATCGATTTGAATAAATGTTACTGAACTTCTGAAAGTTACAAATTGTTATTATTTTTTTTTATTCCAACCATTGCAACTGCTGCAGTTACTTATTATTGTTTTCTTTTTTTTGTTTAATTTGTAGCACAAACCCAATGTGATTTCGAAGATCCATACATTTGTTACTTTGTACAAGATCAAACGGATGATTTTGATTGGATAAGAACATCTGGATCAACACCCACTTTTGGTACTGGCCCTGAGAATGACCACACTTACGGAACATTACAAGGTAATAAAAAGCTGACATGAATTTATATTTCAAAAATGAAATTGTAAATTCCTAATGAATATATTTCAAAAACTACAAACAAAATAAATAAAATAAATATTAAATAGGCCTAGATCTAAAAAAAAATCTATTAAACCTTCTTACAGGTTTCTACGTGTACATCGAAACTTCATATCCACGATACAACAACGAAACCGCTCGTCTTTGGACATCGCCATATCCTGCAACCAACGGTACATGCGTCAAGTGGTTCTACCACATGTACGGGGCCACAGTGAACACACTGAATGTATACATAGTCAATACAACAGGTACTGTTGGTGCACCTGCGTGGACAAATAGAAACAACCAAGAAAACCTTTGGCGACTTGGAAAAATATCAGTTGAAACATTGAGTACCTTCCAGATAGTGTTTGAAGGAATTGTAGGAAGGAGTGATACAGGTGATATTGCTTTAGATGACTTTAGGATCATTGATGGAGCATGTTTGAGAAATGGTAAAATACACCTTCATCATTTCACAATTCATTACACAATAAAAAGGTTATTTTCCCACCCATTTGCATCGGACTTTTACCACTTATGGCATTCACCGATCGGCATTTTGCCACCCAGCTTTTTGACAATTGTTGTGAACTCAGGATTTTACCAGACCTCGCATTACCATCCAGGGTCCAATGCCACCCAACATTTTGCCAATTACCTCGTTTCGTTTATAGATCCATCAGCACTTTAGTAGTATACTAATACCTCAGAATACCTTTCAACGAATGAACATATTCTTTCCATTGCACAAATACAAAACTTTTATTATTTGTTTTATAACACACCTAAATAGATCCTTGTCATTTGATTATCTTCCAAGCAGTGTCCAAGACTGTAAAAGTTATGCTTGTCGCCTGCTTGGGGAATAGGGTATAGGCCATTACTGGCCGCAGATCAACATTTCACCCCATTCTCAGGCCCACAAGACCATCTGATCGAATCAGTTTGGCCAAGCCTTGGCCTTACCTCCGCACAAAACCTAGGCCCTAGGCCTAATGCTATTATACCCTAGGCCTAGGCTACAAATCCATCCGGGCATTTCGGAAATAAGAGGCCGATTCCACAAACATTTTGTGTAATTTGAGCTAGTTTTTTTATTTATCATCGACGCTATTGAAATACTTCACAGTAAACCATAACAACTCCCTCAGTAAACAAAATCTCCGATACATTGCACACCGCTAAGACAAGCTCAGCAAGAAGTAGGCTTATGGTTATATATGACGTGACGTTATTTCGTGGTAACCTTCCGGGAAAAAAAAATCAGTTTTGCGTCTTTTTAACAAATTAAAAGATTGCATTAGGTTGAAGTCATTTCGTATCCATAGGCAACGTGCAAAGGAAGAAATAAAGGGTGGAGCAAAGTGTTCATGATAAGTGGTGAAATGGGGACATTAACTAATGTCACGTGGTACAAAATCCACCAATCAAATTACTTGAATCTATTTATGTGTGTTAAATCCGTATAATTTCGCCAAAGCTTTTTTTCACTTTAAAATTTGGCATCAAATTGTTTTCCTTTAAATTGTGAGTGATTGGAATGTGTTATTCTACTTTCCCCCACCTGTCTTCTGAGCCCTATTTTTAATTATTCCTGTACATATCTTGTAGAGGTAATACAAATTAATTTATCTATAGTCAGGACAATCTCTGAATAATAATGGTGTAAAAGTAACGGAATGTAATATCTATCCTCCAGGAGCTTTTATACAATCAAATGAAACGCTTACAGATGTTAAGCTAAAAAAGCTTATAGGTCGTAAATTTAACATTATGGGAACAATTGCTGGAAAAGAGGCTTTCATAACACTCAAAGATCATAAAGGGCATCAACAAAGCAGATGAAACCCCACCGAGGAATATGATACACTCATGCACCACAACATCACTATGTCATAATGAAGGGAAAAGAATGCAAGACCCACGAAATTAACAACACAGTCCCAACTTAACTTGGCCGCAATTTACTGTATATTTAAGAAATACTGTATCACCAAAAGAAATTTGAATGCAAAGCCAAAATTAAAGTGTTTTATTTCGTTGCCTTTGCTATTGATTTTTAATTTACAATAATAAAAAACAGCATTAATAAAAATAATAGTAATAAAAGAGGCAAATATAAAAATTAATGATAATAACGATAATGAACAATAATAACGTAATAATGACAATACTGATTTTTAGTCCATTGTCCATTACATGGTATTCGTGTCAAAGGCGCCTTTGTACTTTACCGCTGATTCGATGTTCTTTTTTCGTTTCGTGTGTGAATGTTGCTTTACTTTGTATTTTTTTGTCAGTTTTCCTTACACTGAGGAAGAACACAGGAGTGTTTAAGTGTTACGAAAGCCTTTTTTCATCAATGATTTCCAATCAGCCTTCGATTTTCAATTTTGTAGCAATTGATTTGGCTGAATTCGAGTCAACTCGGCCCCATGTCAACTCATACACACACACACACACACACACACACACACACACACACACACACATATATATATATATATATATAGATAAAAAA